TATATATTTTTTTAACATACCTACTAGTTTTATAGGTGGTAACGCTTTGGCTAAAACCAAAGATATCTAGACATTGAATACAAATGTGATCTGTAGTAGACACTGTGGTACGGATTGTCAGTAAAAAACTATTTGATTTTCAAAAAAATATTGCTAATTTATTATTTAATTTATTTTAAACTATATTTAACTGTTCTTATCAACGTTTAAAAGAATAAAAGAAATCTGAATTTTATTAATATAAAAAAAAAAATATTTTCAACTAATTTAATTGTGGCTGGCTGGTCGCTTTTTAATACTAATTTTTATTAAGTATTTATTGCTTTGATGGATAATGTTTATTGTATATTGAGAAAGGTTACATGAAAAGAACTATTTTAGAATGGTGTGTTATTCAACATTACTCATCAAGGTTTATTCAGTTTTTATTAATAATTTATTTTGTGTTATGTAGTGTGTGTGTGATAGTAGTATGTTATTAGTTATTTTTGTTTATTTTTTGCATATAAATAATAGGTGTGATGTAATATATCTGTGGCCAAAGAGAATAAGTTATTGAGTGACATTGCTACTAATAACTTTTTTATAATTTTTACTTTAATATATATATTATACAGGGTGGCCCAGAAATAAGTGCAAATATTTTAAGGGGTGATCTTTGTCAAAAGAAACATATATTTTCTCTTTATCGTTTTCAAATAAGTCCAAAATAACAGGTTATTTTACTTTGAAAAATTTCAAAAATGATTTTTTGCTAAAATTTTGAGAACCACTGGATCTTTTCTGGATTTTCTTTCTTGTAAATTTAATCTAATACCTATGTTGCCATATTATCAAGGGGTATGCTAACTAAAAAATTCCAAAAAATTTTTCAAAAAATTTCGAATTTTCGATTTTTTTTTTCGCGAAAAAACCGCAAAAAAATAGGCGTGTTTCTGGGGTTGAACTATACTACCAGTTAAAATACTTGCACTTATTTCTGGGACGCCCTGTATATAGATTTCGATTCTAAATATTCAAAGTCAGGTTCTCTACCCCCTCATGCTGGCAGTATCCGGCTGCAAAAGGCCTTTATACCTCGGTAACAACGTGAAACGTGAAAATATTAACTAAATTCGAATTCGAAAAACACAGACACGTTTATCATTATTGTACAGTATCTTGTACACTTCGAACTAAAATATGTTCTTAAAAGAACAATGTCTACAAAGGTCTGTTAGTAAACATTTTTTCAGCTTAAAGTATCACAACACAACTCATTTAAACCAAAAACCGTAATACAAAATTAAAGTGTCAAAACGAATGTTAATGTCAGGAAATAAATACATAAAATGTTGTAACTTGACATTTTTTAGAGCAGAGCTACCACCTGATCTCCAGCGGGAAATTTAAATTTCAGTTAGTCAGCCCGGCGCCGAAGATAGCCATGGTTGGCAACAATGAATTTGAAAATAGCGCCCTCGATTACGTAACTAAAAGTTTAATTGATATCAAGTATAGGTACAATTGTTTTTCTTCACATTGCTTTGCTTTGTATCATTTTCAACATTGATAAAGAATATCGACCTCAAGTCTTTTAATCGTTCGTCGACGAATATCTGCACCTTGATGCGACGAACTTGAACTGGATGGCGCGGCGTAGGCAGAAGTCCGAACGGGAAAAGCCGACTAAATTCTAAATTATCTTCGTACCTTCGCCGTTATTATTAATGGTTACCGTCCTCGTCGGCAATAATTCGTTAAACGTAACCGCTAATGAACCGTTCCGCTTAACAAGCTCGTATTTTAGCGCTTTATCTATTTTAGATTGCGGTTCTCTCGTATCTCCGGTACTTTGACGGCGGAACGATCTATATCTAGATACGTTCAACAATGTATGGCGAACTAATCACTTTCTATTTATACCTAGCGCGGTGCATCTTTGTCTTTGCGGCTTTAGTGCGATCTATTATGTTCGTGTTAGTTCCGATCTGGGCCGGAAAATTGATTAAGACCTTACTTTGTATAGTAGAAACGTTATTAATAGCACACAAAGAATACAAAATATGTCTAAGTCTATTGGGCTATATATTCAAAATGAACAACTTCCAGAAGTAATTATAGTCTAGATATGAAAAGAGCTAGATATTTATTCAATAACAATATTAAATTAATTGAGAACTTTCACGCATCAAATTTTGTTTACTTACACATTGTTATGCCAGATTTGAGTAAATTTACTATATTTTTTATGTTCTGTACTATTTGCTCTTACTGGTAATACTTTCTGGTAGTACTTTATCGAACAAGATCGACAGGCATTCTTGAGGTTTCTGGTCTGTTCTGATCTTGACCTAAACCTTATATTAAGATTCGTTAAATGCTACGTGTGGTCGGTGCTAATTTATAGCATGGAAGGTTGGACATTGAAAGTAACTGCTATTAACAAGCTAGAGGTTTTCGAGATATAGCTGTATCGCAGTATTCTTAAGATACATACCTTGGACGACTTGCTAACAAATGAAAAAATTCAGGAATTTTGTTTGAATTGATCAGGAAGAATTAAAAACCGCATACCTGGGGCATATCATGCCTCACTGCATATTATGGCTCACTCGGAGGCCTTGGGCCCATTGCGATACCCCTGTATGGTTGTACCAAACCTTCCTCTCATTCTTTCTTTGCATTAAAGCACTTCCAGCTCTTTGCAAACTTCCCGATTTCGCTGATGTTGGCTTCTACTGCTTCATCTAGTCCCTCCAAAAAACCTTGCTCTAAAGTTTTAAAGCGTCGGTATTCCAGTGCCGGACAATTAATGGTACAACGGAATCCTTTATGGTTTCATCTTCCTCTCCGCATTTTCTGCAGTAGTCATTGGAAATCTTTGGAGTTCTTTTTGTGCTCTAGTAGGTGTTTTGTCATCTTGTCTTTTTGCTATCTACCACTGGCCATAAATGGCCTACACACGTAACGATTTATCGGACTGCGCGTTGAACTGCACATCGTAAAGAAAATCGTACGGCTTGCAGTACAGCCATTTTTAGTACACACGATGCAACACATTGTACTGCCGCAGTTCAGATTATTCACTTTTCGTCGAGAAGGGTACCGTTATGTCAAGAATTTCAAAGAAGGAAGCTGCCGTGCTTGTAGCTGCGGTATTGCTGATAGATGAAGACGATGATGAACAAAAGAAATCAAAAAGCGAAAATGGTGTAAAAGTGGTTGCTGGAGAGAAAGAATTTTTCATTTTATTTGCATAATCTTTTGGTTTCACGTCCCATAGGCATCTATTTTCTCTATATAAATCAATAAAGTTTTCCCAGAACGTCTTATTTTTAGAATCCATAATATTGATTAAACCAAAAATAAATAAAAATCATGTCGTAACTACGCGCTGCGGCAGGGAATACACTCCACGCGTTCAAACTCCACCTCAGACACGACCCGTTTATACGATATTTTACGGAAGCTCCTTACTGCAAACGATTTGACGACTGCATACTGCAAACCATCCAATTTCCCTACACACGCTACGATTTATCGTTAATGCGGCAGTTTCGATGGATATCGTACTGCATGCAGTACGATAAATCGTTATGTGTGTAGGCCGTTATAGTCTTCGAGCTGTAGCGCAGTCCTCACGGTGTTGCCACGTCTCTTGCTGCTTGACCTTGATGGTAGTTCATATAGCTTCCTTCAGTGTGTTAATCATCACAAGTGGTGGGTCATCTGCCTCCCCCCTGGCCCCCTCTTTGGCGGGTATGTCTGCTTCTTGATTGCCGGCAGTCCATCACAGTTTTCGATCTCACTGATTCCTACTACAGGGTGTTCGGAAATTAATGCAACAAAATTTGGTCATAGATTCTTGAAAAAAAATAGGTGACTCATATTTTTTATTTTTGGCGAAGTGGCCCCGCACCGGATTTTACTTTCCCTGATTTCGCCCCTAAAGGAGTTTTTTAATATCTCAGGGCCCTGCTGGACGAAAATCACTAAATTTAGTACACGTTGTTTTACCATAAAATTACATTTTTTGATACTATTATTTTTTTTTATTTTCATCAGTGGCGTCCCTATGGTATTTAAACTAAATTTGGAACAACTTTATCTCTTGACTTTTTTTCGTACGATGCACCGTTTTCGCGTTAAAAAATAAAAACCATTTTCATACATGACTAAATCGGTAAAATTTTACCGTAAATTTCAATGGCAAAATTTTTAAAACGGCAAACTTGTCAAAACTGTCAAAAAACCTAAATTGCCGTTTTTTAAATTTTGCTATGAAAATTTTCATAAAAATTTCAGCAATTTGGTCATGAAATGTAAGAATGTTTGAAGGTATGAAAATGGGTTTTATTATTTTATGCGAAAACAGTGCGTCGTACAAAAAAAAAATCAAGAGATAAAGTTGTTCAAAATTTAATGTAGATTTTAAAAATAATTTTTATTTAAAGAAACCAGTGGCGTACCATTTTTTTCTTCAATAATATTTAGTTTAAATACCGTAGGGACGCCACTGATGAGAATAAAAAAAGTTAATAGCATCAACGTGTACCAAATCTAGTGATTTTCGTCCAATAGGGCCCTGAGATATTAAAAAAAACTCTTGAGGAGCGAAATTCAGCGGGCTGTAAATCCGAAAAGGGGGGTCACTGGCCAAAAATAAAAAATACGTGTCACCTATTTTTTGTTCAAGAATCTATGACCAAATTTTGTTGTATTTATTTCCGGACACCCTGTATATATAAAACCGGGTTCATAGCGTCCTACGCCTTCCGGTACCCAGTTGCCAGCCTTTCCTATTCTCCCAATCCCCTGGATGAAGAAAAATATAGATATATAATAAAAAAACAGAATTGTCCCAGTTTTTGTTTTCACAAATCGACTGACCCCTGGTAACCGATAAAAGAAATGGGCTAATAATCCTATTAGTGTTTAAGCTTCGTCAAAGTGTATTTCCGACTGTTCAGTTTCGTTTTGATCCAGGAAAATTTATTGGAATTGGATGTATTTGTTATGAGAGGCCTTTGATCCACCAGAGGACGAGTGTGTAGCTTTTCGAAATGTATTAATATCTTTCGATGGCAAATCAGTGAACTTTTTTTTTAAATCCAGATGGTTGGAAATTTGCCATAAAAACACAGAACATATGCACCTGAAATGAACTGTTTGTGGATGACGTTTAAAATTAATGCATTTATAATCATAATAAAAATAATAAAACAATATTTTTCTTTATATTTTGAGTCACAAAATTAGTGACTCCAAATTCAATAAACACATTTTATAGGTGTCTTGGTTAGGGTTAAAAGCAAGGGCATACTATTAATGCTAAAATTGTTATTAATCGTTACCGTCTTCTTCATAAGCGAATGTCTCCAAAAGAATAGTAGATAGTGGAATAAATCAACAATGAAACTATCAAGAAAAGATGCATTTTTAGAATAAAGTAGTTTCTAAATCCTTTATTTTCGTACACCATTTCACAGGGTGTTTGAAACTTTCCCCAAAATAACATTTTGTTTTCCGTCGTGTCATAGATTGAACCTTTACTTTTTAGTTTGAAAAGAGGCTAAAATATCACATAATTTAGCTACAGATTGCTTAATCAAAATTGGTCAAAGAGAACTAGAACAAAATATATTGAACTTTTTACTGGAATTTTCACTGCTTTCTGTTTAAGCTCTTGCTTTTCGTGCTGGTCAATGTATAATGTCTAATATAACGAAATGATACTTATTTTCTTTTGAAAAAATTTAGAAATTCAGAAAAACAAAATATTAGATGTTTTGATTGTGTTTTTCTAGTCACGGTGCAAGTACTGATATGGTTTTCACGCTTTTGTGAAATCGGGAATGCTTCTTTGTTCGTTCCAAGATACGCACCTTTCCCCATGTACAGTTCGTTGTTTTTTTCTGAACTGTAAGAATTAATGTAGGGTCTAACCGTGACAAATCGAAATTTTCTAGCAATTTATTTGAAAAATAACAGTACTCCGCGCGATCAAGTAGTATCCGTTGTAAATAATCGGATTTAACCAGGGATGAGTAAACTGAAATAATATCCGAAAATACTTTATTTGACTAATATTTATTAAGATTAAATTATATTTATTCATTTACACTAAATTTTGCTCGTTTTTAATAAACTGGTATATCTTAATTTTTATAAATTTGTTTGCTTTTATAAATTAAATAAATTTTATTGTAATAAAACATTATTTGTGCTAAGCTAATTTTAGCCATACAAGTAGAATACATCAAAAGTGATGTGATAACATGTCTGACCTAGGTATTTCAAAAAATATTTGTTTCACTATTGTAAAACATTATTTATTTACTTGAATTCTGATGTTAGTAAGATAGATTTGTTACTGTCGCAAATTACGTTATAATTTAACAATTTGCTACGCACCCAACCCTGAATCGATCGTTAGAAGAGAAATCGAGCGTTCGATCTTGCGAGCCTCGCTGGAAATTTGTTCTGTTCAATGTTTCTTCGGCTTGATTAATCGCTTTTGACGGACTGAACGACACAGAATGGTTTTATTAACGTCGTATTTTATCAATTTACTTTCTGTAATAGTCTTTCGATAAATTTATTAACAAGTAAAGTAACTTAAATTCAGATTTATTTATCTTTGCAAAAATTTTATATTAGAAAGTATCGTTATTGAAATCGAATAAGAAATAGATTCTTAAACAACGATAATTGTTTGTATCTAGTTATACCTCTTTACAGCAGTCCTTCTTTTTCCCCTGTATTATTAAAAAGAAACCTACACAAAAATGTGCTACTATAGCACATATTATTTGAAAATAAAAAAAAGAAGTTTTTAAAAATCAAACATTTTTATTATTATTGATAGCGTATGATGGATGTAATGCCTATGATGAATGTCAATATTACCTTATCCATCATAGCGTATGATGGATAAGGTAATATTGACTATGGCGTCCATAGTCAATATTACCCAAGTTGGAACATTTTATACTTAAAAACTTAATCTCTCTGACTACAGATTTTGTAATACCTAGTTTTTAGTTAAAATAATTATTTGCGAGTTTCTTTTTTCAATTTAACAATCAATTTTTTTACTAAAATGGTTTTTATTTCAGATATACTCACCGGAAATGAACCCAATCGCCAATTTAGAGCAAGATCAAATTCGGCAGAATCATGGGCCACAGCACTGGGAGACAAAGGTGCGTATATTTACTTACATTATTTTTACTTATTTGACATTGGGTAAAAATTCTTCCTAACGTAGTTGAAATGTTGTTGAAATTATGATCATGTCACAGCTTTTAGTTACTTATATGTTTAATTTATTTTGTTTTGCTCTTTTAACTTCAGAAAATTTATAATTTTGTAATGATTAGTAGTATTATTTAAAAGGGAGAATATCACTAAATATACATGTATGATTTATAATGTTACTTGTTTACCGAGTTGTTTACTGAAGAACATACAGTTGAGTTTGGAACTTTTAGTCTTTACATACAGCAAATTAAAACACTAGTTCACCACAATATATCCAAACACTTTAATTTTAACACTGAACCCTTGTTTCGGTAACCATTTTAGCAGCATCAGCAGATGGTTAAATCTAAGTTAGTTTTAATCTTCTGATTATGCTAACATGAAACGCATGTCCAATGTCTAAAGTGTTTTGGTGATAAATTGTGGTGAACTAGTGATAATTTTATATATTTGGTCACTAGAACCATACCAGGTGCGTCTAAAAGTAGTTCACCCCTATAACTTTTTTTCAGTTAAAAAACGAGATTTGGTATGTTAGTATATGACATAAATTAGGATTGATTGACGTATTCAATTGTTTTCGGTCACTTCCTGTTTCACCGGAAATGACTACAACTTTTGATTTTTAAATAGCTCACTCGGTATTTTTTTACTTTATTCGCAAGAAAATAACACTCTGAATAGAATTATATATCATATGTTAACTTTTGACATTTTCGCATATGGTTTATTTGAAATTATAACTTGCGGTTTGTAACGAAAATTTTACTCGAAATACCAAGTGTGTGATATCAAATTATTCATAAAAAAATGTTTTTTCCAAATATGCTAATGAGCCACCCTCGTTCCATTTGAAAAACTTGAGATATGATTAAAAATACGATTTGTGCAATTTCTAACTGGCCAGGACAAGATACTCAAAACATTAGACGATCAAATCTATTTTTCCAAGGCTCCTTGATTAAAAATTAGTGTTTTTAACATAGCCATGGCACTCTAGATTGAATTTTAAAATACGATTTTTATTAAGCGAGAATATCAAGAGTTAACATATGATGTCATTCTGTTCATAATGTCAGTTTCTATCGAATAAAGTAAACAAATACCGAGGGTGCTATTTAAAAATCAAAAGTTGTAGTCATTTCCGGTGAAACAGGAAGTGACCAAAAACAATTGAATACGTCAATCAATCCTAACTTATGTTATATGCTAACATACCAAATCACCCGGTATATAAAGTTCTTGGTAAGCTGTTCAGTTAAAATGTCCTTCAGTTAATCATTAAAGACAATTTCAAAAAGGTTTTGCATTAAATATCTACTTTAGTGTTGTTCTACCTATTTTTAAATAGCCATATCTCACCATTGTACCACAATTATCGCCAACGCCACAAGAATTTTTATCCACTCGCACCGCCTTAACGTTAAAACTTACTCTTTCCCTCCAGACTCTATTACGGCCACCCCTCCGCCACCGACCACCCCGGCTCGTTACCCCTCAATCCCCCTTATCCCCGAACCCGTCGCCCGACTCCAAACTCACTCCCCTCCTTCCCTCTCTGTTACCCCCGCACCCCCCACTCGCCCCACCAGCTTAGACTTGGAAGGACCGCAGCGACCTGCCAGACACAAAACCAGCTCCTCGTCAAACGAACTTGCTTGTGAGTTTTTTGGTTTGAGGTTGTCGGTTTTGAGCTATGCCACTTTCTGTCCTAACTTCGTGCTCTGCTCTTTACTGTCTTTGTCTGTGTTCGACTGTCGAACTGTCTAAACATACAATAGAATTTTTAACAGACAACTTTATCAAACTCCAATACTGTGAACTATTTACTGACAATGCCGTTTACGTGTATAATAATATGTTTACTACCTTTTTTATCAAGGTTATCGAAGAGATAACTCTTTGTAAAAAATGTCTGTACCTATGTGGCGGATTCATCTATCCAAAAAAATCCTTTATGGGTATTTCGCCACTGCACTGCAAGAAAAATCTACAAAATAAAATAGTTATTTTTTGTAAACACTTCTGGCGTTAAACCTAAACGGACGCTGCTTGTCAGAAGTTGTGTTTACAGTAATAAAAATTTGCCCAACAAAGAAAAAAATGCTTAACGTTTCGGAAAGTTTTCTCTTTCCGTCGTCGGAAGCAAAAAAAATATAAAGAATCAAGAAAAAGACAATTTAAAATAAATAAATTTGTTCTCGAATTGTTCAATTTAAATATGTGTTTACAAAAAATAACTATTTTATTTTGTAGATTTTTCTTGCAGTGCACTGGCGAAATACCCATAAAGGATTTTTTTGGATAGATAACTCTTTGGTAACCTTGATAAGGAGCACCACTCAGGAGTACTATTGTATTCAACTTCTTTGATTGAAATTAGAGATAAGGTTTGTACAAGAAGCCATCTAGGTCTTCAGATGTGGATGGAACATGCTATCACGTGTTAACCAGTCATTTTTGTTGTCTCCATCTGATTAACTTGTTATCAAAAAAGAAGGATTTATGTACGGATTCGTTTACAAAAAGGTTTAAAATATTGTATATTCAAAAAGTCATTCATTTCTTTAGATGTGGATGGAACATGCCATCTGAGTACCAAAATCAATCTTTAAAATACTTCCTGTTTTTTTACAATTTTTTTACATTTTTTTACAACCTAACATAGTTTTAAAACGGTAGCACATATAATCCGCTCTTCATGTCTTCGGATGAGGTGGATGCAATATACCATTAGAAGTATCCTTATATCGGGAGTTTCATTAACTTGGTAGTGATTACTTCAACAAAAAAATAGTATTCGCTAAAAAGACATATCCATCTTCAAATGTGGATGGAATATGCGGAGTACTCAGAAACCCGACTGTTTAACTTCCTGGAGCCCCTGATAATCTTAGTCTACTTTGGGTTTTAGGATATTGTGGGATTGAGGTGACGCATTTTCAAGACGGTCAGACACAAAAATTATTGGGCAAAACGACAATACAGGATGAGATAACATATTGGTTAATCATGTAACAAAATAAGCAAGAGACTGCTTTATTTAAGTGGAAGAAATCGAATGCATTTCACTATATAAACAGACCTGGACTAAATGAATCTGTGTAATGATACCTTTGTAAGATACCTTGATAACTTTACTGTAAAATGTAACCAGTAATATGGTACCTCGATCATGGATTAACTGGCCCACTATAGATAGACTGAAGATATATGGACATCCAAGGGTAGACCTAAGTATTTGAAAAAGGCATCCATTAAAAAAAGCAGGGGATTATCCATGGTATCATTTTTTTTGAATGATTATTATAATTAAACACAGTAAGTACAATAAACCTAAATGCTGCCGTGCTGTGTGGAGACAAAAGTCAGATAGCTTTGAAAATGTCATCCATGTTTAAAGTAATTACAACTTCTGACTAATCAGAAGTTGCAAGTCACTCCGAGGTACTCTTATCATTAATTGATTAACATTAATGGTATGACTGAAGAACTTACAAGTAGTAGGTTAGATACAAAATTTGTATTCTTGTCTTATACACCAAAATGTAGATCTGTAGCCAGAATAAAGACTGATCTGATACCAAGAACAGAAGACATACGAATAAGCAAACGTAGACCTAAGACATTTATACTCACTGAAGAATAATTTCTTGCAAGATATTAAAATGTTGGAGTAAATACAGGAACTTGTAGTACAGATTAAATGTACAGATGTTGGCTTCCAAAAATGACAGAAATAAAACCCTTTACATGACTGATTCGAAAGTACAATGTTTGCGACAGATCTAGTTTGTCTAGTCAAAAACAAATCGCAAAAGTTTTTAGTTATACAGTATACAGGGTTGTTCACCATATACCACACGGAGTATTGTAGCTAAATGATTAGATTTTTACAAATTGTAAGTTTTGGGTTCGTTGAAGGACTATTAGAGCTACAATTTAAAAATATTTTTACAAGATACAGAGTGTCCCAAATAAATAAAAAATATCAAAGTTGTATTTTTTTTAAATGGAACACCCTGTATATTATTACATTTTTAGTTTCTACGATTAAAATAAAGTAAAATTTGATTAAAGGTTTATTATACTTAAACCTTACCGTTTTTTGAAATATTTTCAATTTTGTGAAATTGCAGTATAAATTTTAAGGCGTTTTTCTCCGAGGGGTATCAAAGTTTTTAATACTAAATATTTACTGAAGTTTATTTATTCATCAGTTACTGTGTTGCAATAATAAAAATTTTACTACCTTATACAGAGTGTCTAAATATTTATTTTAAATAATTATTAGCTTTAAACGGCAATAATTTGTTTAATTTAAATGGAACACCCTGTATATTTTATAGAAGAATCAGATGAACAATTTAATTGTCTATCAAATTGTATTATACCATTTTTTACCTATCTCTTCAAGTTTCCGTAGAAAATGATTTTTCTTGTAATTTAGATCTCATTTATCGATATACCCATGGAATACTGACATTTTAGATTATTTTTAAAGATGTACCAAATTTTTAAAGAGTACATATACTAATATCGTTGATATAGTTTGTTTATTTCATTAAAAAATAAAAAAAAACTGTTTAAATATTTGTTAAAGAGGACCAATTAATATGATTCCAGTATGCAAACTACATTAATTGACTGTTAGCGTTGATTAATAATAATTGCTCCAAACTAAAAAACTGTATTATGTATGTGTATTAGACAGTGTGGTAAAAAAACTAACACCTTAAAAATGATATTTCATTTTTTGACAAATGCTTATTTATAACAACAGAGACGTACCATTTTCATAACTTATTATTATATCGATTTCTGATTCAAATCTACATTTATTTAGAATAATTTATTAACGAACACAATTAAGTATGTAATTAATTAGTATTTGGGCGGAAATACTGGTAGTATATTTAATTAATGGTATACTTTTTTATAAAGATTTAAATAGTTTTCTTTTTGCATACAAATGGGCTAGTAATATTATCGTTTTACTAAAAACGATAATATTACTAGCATGTACATTTTGTACATTTGTTGTTTTAAAAACAATCTGAAAAAATGCATTTTCTACGAAAACTTGAAGGGATAGGTAAAAAGTGGTATAATACAATTTGATAGACAATTAAATTGTGCATCTGATTCTCATAAAATATACAGGGTGTTCCATTTAAATTAAACAAGTTATTGCCGTTTAAAACTAGTAATTATTTAAAATAAATTTTTAGACACTCTGTATAAGGTAGTATAATTTTTATTATTGCAACACAATAACTGATTAATAAATAAATTTCAGTAAATATTTAGTATTAAAAACTTTGATACCCTCGGAGAAATGAAGCCTTAAAATTTATATTGCAATTTCACAAAATTGAAAATATTTCAAAAACGGCAAGGTTTAAGTGTAATAAACCTTAATCAAATTTACCTTCATTTTAATCGTAGAAACTAAAAATGCAATAATATACAGGGTGTTCCGTTTAAGAAAATACAACTTTGATATTTTTTATTTATTTGGGACACTCTGTATCTTGTAAAATTATTTTTAAATTATAGCTCTAATAGTCCTTCAACGAACCCAAAACCTACAATTTGTAAAAATCTAATCGTTTAGCTACAATATTCCGTGTCGTATGTGGTGAGCAACCCTGTATAAGTAAAAAATGTGTATTTTTTAAACCCTTTGACACCCTATTGTATGTTTAGACACAAACAATTCTTCACATCTATTAGGATGAATTCAACAATTTTAAAAGATGTAATGTTTTCTTTTTTCTTTTTCTTATATTTATATCGATTTCTTTCTGCTTTTTATAAAAAAAACTAAAAAATGAACATTGAGAATATAACTGAACAACCATATTAATGTTACTTTAACAACTTTTTAACTAAAACATGCATAATGAATGCATTGTTCCGATTTATTTGCTACTGTTAATACCATTTCTTCGAAAGAAACATTCTTTTGTATAATGTTGTCTGTTTCGTTTATGTTTGAATGGTTTTTAACAGGGTAATATAAAAGAGTAGACGTAAAAAATATAAACAGAAAAGCTGTATAACGTCAAACAAAAAGAAAAAAATTGATTGATTATACTTTTTTTTGCTTTATAACTTTTATTTCGTTTATTTTTATTTATTGTTATTATAGTTTTTCATTTTGTACTTGAATTTTTAGTTTTGTTTTTTGTTTTACTTCCTTTATTTACTATTTCTTACTAGTACTAGCTCTTTCGATTTCGTAACTTACTTGATTGTGGTGAGAGAGTCGTTTTAACGCATCTTTATTCTCGTGTCCTGTCTAATCGATCTGTAATTAACAAATAACTGACGTTTAATGTTTCTTGTGTTAACTGCTTACTTCTATTTTAGCTAATCTTCACGAAAAAGCCATTGTCGTTAAACGGAGAAATAAAAATACTAACATGGGTAAGTTATGGTGTCAATGTATAGTAACATCGTATCATTAAGATATAAAGATTTTATCTGCGATTGGAACAGTTGTTTTGTGTTGTCAACGCTATTTTTCCCTGTAAAATGAAAAAATTAAGATTTTTTTCATGTTAAAATAATCTTAGGGTAAACTTAGTAAGACATAATTGTAACTGCCATTGAACTGTTAACTGAAATGATAGACAGAATTGTCACTGCCAGGGATCTTCCTGTTGGAGTGGTTTGGTTTGGTTTGGTGAAAAAATGAAGAAAAAAGTCTCAAATATTTGTTATATGCACTTAAAAGCGTTACAACAATATTAATTATATTACAACGCAGACATAATCTGAGCCTTTTATGAATTTGCTTTCTTTTAATTATTAGTAATTAGAAATCAAGCATGTATTAACAAAACTTTCGTGTATTTTAGGTGATGACAGATCGAGAAGACCCGATTCTTACCTTAAGGCTACCAAAGGTGAGCAGGCATCTCTTGGAAGTGATCTCAGCGATTTTGAAGATGTCACTTCCCAAATGCTCCGGAAGTAAGTCCTTTAAAAACACTTTTATTATGTAATTAATTAATTTATTTACTGTTAAATGTCAAGGCACAATATATCGCACTGTAATTTTGTTTCTCACGCGATACTTTTTATGTATTCACAATATTATTGTTCACTTGGTGGGCTAAACACTCTGCTTAATGTTATTAAAAGGGTTGGTGGGATAAATGAAGAAGTATTTAATCAAATAACATTTATTTATAGCTCTAGCTAGTGTGCTTTTAGCTTGAGAGGTTTATGGGCAGTGTCGTCGAAATGTATCTAAAGTATACAGAGTGTTCCAGGCTGAGCGTGCATTAGAAGTTTCTAAAGAACTACAATATCTAGATCGGAGATTTTTTGCACATCATTGTTTCACAATTAGATCTATCGATTAAAAATATTTTCAATATGGCAGCACTTCCGGAAATACCGGAAGTCGACAGCAACTTTCTTATTTTAAATGAGTACCTCTATTTTTTGTTACATATTTAAATTCTCTATCAAATTTTATGAATTTTTATGTCAAACAGTTTATATCTAACATTAACCGTTTTTGAGAAAAAAAAATTGGAACAAAAAACTGAACTGCCTGTCAAAAAAAATTGTATAGCCTAAACATCAAATTTAGTGATTACCACAGCCATTGTTTGAGTATCATATAATATTGGCTGTAGCTGTCATGGAAGAGATTAATAAATTATCATATAAATCATTTTTTTAAATGGAAACCCACTTTTTTATTTCACTAGTGAAGAGGTTTTTTAATTCGTTACTTTTTGATTATACATATTCCTTTACCCAAATTAAATCGTTTGTATGTTATTTAAGATTTAGTTTTAAAGCGTATATTTTTCTGTTTTTTAACCAGTAGCCTATTACGTTAAACGTCAAATGATGTAAAATTAATTAATTACTAAAATTCGAGATATATTTTTATAAATACACTTTATAAAATTTTAGCAGTAGTATTTATAATAAATAAAATTCAAATAATTACTTTTTTGACAGAAGGAAATAAAATGTATGATGGTTTGACACTTAATATCAAAGGAAGCTAGATAAAATGAAGAAAAATTTACGCTTTAGAACTAAATATTAAATAACTTAAAAACGATTTATTTTAGGTATAGGAACATATATATACTCTGTTTTTTTTTCTCAGGTAAGATTTCGACAGACTATGACAGAAAAAAAGCAGATGACTTCCATACCAATCCATTTATTTCACTAAAAACAGTTTCTAATATTTTTTAAGTTAACTATGGATGGATTTATAAGTAAATACGTCATGCGTCGTCTCTTGTTGTTTTTAACTAGTTTTATTGGTTTATTTCAAAAACGACAGATCATGTTTCAATATTATTGGTTTGACGCAACGATAACGACAAACGGACTCCGATGCGTATGAACCCGACTGAGAGTTGTCAAACTCTTGCCAAATTATAGGTTATAATTTTGTGTCAATTTTTTTGGACTGTGTTGTTACTTGTGTTTCGTGTTTTTTAAAATTAAGTGGGGGAAAACTCGAAGGAAAATTAAGTGTTGACCCAGACCATAGTTTAGTTAATATTCGGTGCCCAGAGACCGCCAGAAACACAGTTTGCCAGACACTATGGCTTGCTATGGCCAGGGAGCTGTATTAGCCACAAATAAAGTTGTATACCATCTCGTATATGGTACCAAAAACTGGAGTTTCTGTAAAATAACATCACACGATAGGTAAATAATACATTTCAGTACTAGCAGACAAAATTAAGATTAAAGTTAATTAACAAAGATTAGATTTTTTCAGTTTTATACAGTTTTTTTTGCAATATTTTGAAGTAATCACACTTGTCACTCAAAATTTAAATATATTAATTATGCGTTCCAATTGTACCAACATATTTCTTTGTAAAATAAAATAAACTACTTTGAAATTAAAATGACAGACACATCTATCACTGTCAAGGATTTTGTCGTTTGGACAGACTATAATCAAAAAGTAATGTAATAATAATAGGCTCCCGTATATAGCGTTTAACGCCTTGGGAGCAGCAAGGTACAGCTTGCCATGCTAAAGTTAAAAAACACAGCTTGCCATGCTGTACAAAAGCATGGCATCAAAAAGTAACGAATTGAAAAATCTTTTCACTATTGAAATAAAAAAAAGTGATTTATGATAATTTTTTAATCTCTCAATTCCATGACAGCTAGGGGCAATATTATATGATATTCAAACAATTTAATTTTTGAAATAGAGAGCCACGTGTCTTCTCTTTATGTCACAGTGGCTGTGGTAATCACTGAATTTGACATTCAGGCTAACACATTTTTTTGACAGGCAGTTTTTTCCTTGAAAAACATTTTTTTCTCAAAAACGGTTAATGTCAGATATAGACTGTTTGATATCAAAATTTATAAAATTTTAGAGAGAATTTAAATATGCAATAAAAAGTAGGGGTGTCCATTTAAACTAAGAAAGTTACTGCCAACTTCCGGTTTTTCCGGAAGTGCCGCCATCTTGAAAATATTTTTAATCGATAGATCTCATTGTGAAACAACGATGATGTGCAAAAAATCTCCGATCTAGATCTTACAGTTCTCTAGAAACTTCTAATGCACGCTCAGCCTGGGACACCCTGTATACAGGGTGTTGCTAAAAATTTTGACCTGAAAGAAGATAAGATTCATCGTAAATATGAATCTTACAATAATTTTTAGGACCATCCTGTACATTTGTACAGGATGGTCCAGACATTTGTCTAGGCATTATTCTTGACAATATTATGGCGGTTCTGAACCAAATTTCTTAAAAAACTTTATTATATCCAAGGAGAAATTGATGAAAAATTTCGGTTGTTTTTTGAGTTTTATAGTGTTATTTTTTTCTGTTAGCCGATATAGGAAATGGCAACCGTCCCCATTTTGGGGAGACATTGACCAGCTGCGCAAAATGTTTGAGGAATCCGCATCCTCTAAAGGGTGAGAGCTTTCGTGTGTCATTTGCTTGCACAGCTTGCGGCTTTTTTCTTTAATCTAACAATCTAACCCACTACTACCGGTCTGATATAGTTTTTAATTGAACAACATTTCAGCTAATAATAAAATGAATCATTAACATATAACATTCGATAGGATAGAAATTAACGAGTGTGAAATTTTTGTGTGAATAAGTAGACTCATACATCATGAATTTAGTAATATGTATAAAAATGTTTTTACTTGAAAAAGTAATCTATTAAAGACAGTTATAACAAAAAATATAATAATTAATTCATTAATTAATAATTATTAATCATACTTCAGAATTCACTTTGACGATTTACATATTAGATAAAATCAGAGTAAGAGTAACTTTTCGACTGGTAAAATGTTCAGAATTGACCTAAATCTGTACCTATATCAATGATGTTACTAATATAACTCCATACTGTGATTTTTTAGTAAGTAAATACACTCACCGGTGCAAAAAAAAACTTGCACCTTAAAATTTTATACAGGGTGGCCCATCGAAAACGTTCCGCAAGGCATAACGGCCAGGGTAATTTTTTTTTCAGATCAAAATCGTCTTCGTTGAGTTCTTGTACCAACTGAATTTTGTCCGGGTGGAACTTGTGCTTTTTTAATATCCTTTGGACACTTGTACGATTCACGCCGGTCTCATTGGCTAATTTTCTTGTACTCAGCGTACTATCCATGGCAACTTGACCCAATACGAATACGTCCATAGCTTCATTTACTACAATATTTTCCCTCTGCGTCTTTTTATTCATAACGGAATCAGTTTCGCTAAATTTTGCTACTAACTCGCGAATAATTTTGCCATAAAGGTGTTTGTCAAGATGGCGTTCATTGAATATCTGCGCAAACCGATTGCCACATTCATTATTTTTAAAATAAAGTTCGATTATTTAGACTTTTTCTGCAAATGAGTACACCATAATTGTTAAAAAGTTTAACGAGATTGAGAAGAACTTCAACGCACATCTCACAGAACAGCTATCTAGCAACTACCGCACCTGATCGCTCAACCTTGGGCAAGTGAAAAAATGCGTAAACATAGAAGTGTCTAGCCCTAGCATTCAACTATTAGGCTTGACCAATCAGGTTGGTTAGCGTGGTTATTTGGAGTGTGTTAATTCATTTCTGTTTTTCAAAAACTCTAACGTGATTGGTCGGATTTAATAGTTGCCTGCTAGGGCTAGACACAAGTCGTAAACATCTAGAAATAATAAAAAAACAGCAAATTGGTCGAAGGAATTTATCCTTATCATTTAAGCTTGTTTTATATAGACGCGAATCGCGAATTGTGAAAAGCGATTCGCCAAAAAATATTCGCAAAATTTGGACCTATTTCATACAGTCGCGAATTTTTAGGGACATTTCATTTTTGCTCCACTGAAAGTTACCAAAAAAAAATCATAACCTGAGATAAGTTAATTTGTTTTATACATATTTATTCGTGTTTACGATCTTTATTTTATATTTTATAGCATACAATATGAGTTTAAATTTGTTTAATAATTATGAATATCGATTACGATTGTGGGATTGGAATAGAATAAGGTGTAAAATTGCCATTTACTTATTGTTAAAACGTAGAAGAGAATGGGTTTATAGCACAGGTTTATAGGTCATTTATGGGCCATTTGGGACATGTGAAATATTCAAATTTCGTAAGCAACAAGGTGCTTGTCGCAGTTTAATTCAAAAAATAAGGAAGAAAAATGAGAAAAAATTTAGGAATTTTCACAGATTGTCTGTATAGGAGTTTGATAACTTGGTTGAAGTTGAAAAATTGTCGCCATATATATCAAAAACATATTATGTACGAGAACCCATTTCAACTGGAGAAATGCTTTCAGTTACTTTGCGGCAGCGTCGTCAAAATAATCGATAACCGGATCACAACACCATTCTGCGCAAACGCGTACCTTAAAATCGCGCGAATATTCGCAAAAAGTTGAAAACACTTTAACGTTCCCGCCCTCCAAATTTTAAATCTTGCGAATTGCCAAAATCTTAAAATTTCTGACAGCGCCGCCATGATCAGTAAAATTGGACCAATGAGAGCAGTTTCGCAAAATCGCAATTCGCGTCTATATGAAACAAGCTTTACTCTGATAAATGTTTAAATACATTTTTCAAATTTCAATCCTTCATATTTTCTCAATGACTCGGCCGATTCTCAAAAACGAAACGGGGAAATATAGAGAGTAGAAAGCTTTTTTCATTGCGGCGCCACTTGACCCCCCTTCCCAATTGAAAAAAGTTGGGGGATAGCACCCCCGCTTAGAGGGTTGAAGATTTTGCAATCATTTTTGGGGCAAAAGTTGTCCCCCTCACAAACAAAATTGACGTGTTTTTGGATTTTCTGAAAAAAATTGCCTTGACCGTTATGCCTTGCGGAACGTTTTCGATGGGCCACCCTGTATAAGATTTTGATATAGATTTATCGATTTAGTAAATATTTTGGCATTTTTTAAAATATATTTAATTCTTCACAATTTTTTAAACTGGATTGATTTTTACCACATAAATGTGTTTATGAAAGTTATTAAATCGTTTATATCTTTTACTTGGAAAAAGTAAAAGTAGTTCATGTTGCAGAATTTTGTTGGTGGTTTTTTCACATATATAAATTTTCCAAGAAGGTGTTAAAGCTCAAAGACTCATTGGTGCTAATAATATGTCGTAATATGAAAAAAGAAAGTGTTTTTTACAAAAGTTTATCACTGAAAAGGTGACTAATAAGTTCATTTTCTTTTTCCGAGTCTTTTTGTTTAATCAGGAAATTAGGATTCTAGATTTTTTGAAGAATTTTTCTGTTATCAAATAGATATAGATAATACAAATTCGTTTGCCTTCCGTTACCAAAGTATCATGTAACTTCTGAGAAAGGGTATATTTATATTTACTTGTGATATTAGCAATTTTATTTTACAGTTTATTGTTACAAATTAGATTATTTTGTTTGATCTGTTTATGATAGTTTTGTTTGTGAAATGTATCTGTTTTGTTAAGTTAAATTTGGGCTAATTTATATTAAATAGCTATGTGTATATAACCTGCTATCTGAAATTATGAAGAGTTTCTTTAATTTTGAACATATTTAAATTACAGAAAAAATACGCTTTAAAGTAAATTTAAATAAAATATGGCATAGTAACATGTAAAATAAAAAAATGTTTAGAAAATTTTTTTCAGTAATGAAATAAAAATGGTAGGTTTTCTTTTGAAAAAAAATAGTGGAGATCACTTTTTGATAGCTAAATTGGGGTAAAAAAAGGTTCTACTCATTTCGAATATTTTTAAATAGATGTTTCACATACCGGGTGCGTCTCAAAAGTGGCTCACCCCTATAACTTTTTTATTTTGTGGAAAAATCAAAAGATGTAGTCATTTCCGGTGAAGCAGGAAATGACCAAAAACAATTGAATACGTCAGTCAGTCCTAATTTATGTCACATACTAATATACCAAATCTCGGTTGCTTTTATCTGAAAAAATAAAAAAATTATAAGGGTGAGCCACTTTTGAGAGGCACCCGGTAGATCAGTATCTTTAACATCATTATTATATGATTTTTTATAGACTTTTTCGCTGTTAAAGTCCGAAATGGATTTTTAAAAAGGTAATTTTTTGGCTATGGAGTGTTTGGTATCAAAGTTTATAATATCAATGAATTTTGAGGTATGCCTTTAAAATTGCAAAGATACTATTAATTTTAGATATTTACGGAACTTAAAAATATTTTTATTTAGAGATTGATGTGATTGCCAGGAATACTTGCCTATGCGACTAGTTCCCGACCTAACCTATTTAACGGTCAATGCATTAAAAAAACAGAGCAAAAAAATAAACATCAAAGAAAACACGTGTTATATATAGGGTGTAAATAAATAAGATCTAAAATTTGTGAGGCGATTGCTGTTTTCAAAAATAAGGGTTTTTTCATATGGGGTATTTTCTCATATTGCATTGGGGTTAAATAAAATCACAATATTTTCGACTTATAAAATAATATAAAATTAACTACTTATAAGAAAATTAATAGCTATACAGAGTACGGCAATAGTGCGTCGTAAAAATGAACATTTTTTGTATTTAAAGTATTTCAAAATTTTTAATGGTTTTGCAGATACACGAAATATTATTTTATATGACTTTTTCAACGCTAAAATACGAGAGAAAAATCATTGAGTGGCTCTGATAAAAATTTACTGTGGAAAATGCCATATGAAATATAAAACCGCGAATATCTGCGAAACTGTTAAACATTTTGAAATACTGGGCTAATGAAATACTCTAAATAAAAAAAATGTTTATTTTTTAATTCTTCATCTATTGAAAAAATAATATACAGGAAAAAAAAAACAAGGAAAATTATTATTTTATATTTTAGAAAGTTTGGCGTAGAATTTTGAACATCCTGTATGATTTACGATCACCATAGTTATAACAAAGTAATTACAGACCATCTAAAGTAAATACCTAATATTAGTTTTGATTTCAGGACAGTTCTGGTATTTTTAATAATTTTTTTAAAAAAGGCTGAAAAAAATATATTTTTTATTAAATTATTAATATCTCTGAAACTATCGAAATATATTTACTCATATCTTAGGATTATGTAAAGTGATCTGAAAGGAAGCCAAAAATGCAAAAATACACAGGGTGTTCCATTAAGAAAAATCATCCCGATCCACTCACACTTTTTTGAACCACCCTATAGAAGTTAAAATATTTTCCCGAAATTTATCGTAGTACATACTTTTGGTTTGCAGTTATACAAAATTCTTAAGTTTTTTATTATAGCAGCTACCGATGCCCGACTCACTATTGCCGAACCCTGTACATTTATAAAAACTTTTTTACTTATTTTTATCTGCACAATATCCTACATAATACGAAGTTTCCGGAATACAAATTGGACCACCCTATATTTAAAATAAGCAACGTTATTTTTAATAATTATTCATCCATCCCGCGCGTTTTGGTACTTATTCATTCACACCCTGTATATACCAGAAAGATCTCACCGAAAATCATGATCAATCTCATTATCTCCTAATCATTCTCAAAACAACTCCTCGTCCCATTTTCCGTCCGATCGGTATCGAAATTCGCCAAAACGCTCATTAGCCGCGATAATTTTTCTCGGAAACCGGCGGCGGCGATGCCGCACGGCCAACCGCGATCTTTGCATCCGTCTCTAATCGTCTAATTTTCTTCTCTCTCCCGTAGCGGCAGTGGCAGCGCCAACAGCAGCAGCAGCGTGTCGCTGGAACGAGACAGAGCGTCGGCGGGTTTGAGCCCTCCCCTGTCCTACAAGAAGACGGAACCTAGCGACGTGGTGCGCGAAGGGCTGGTGCATTGCAAGATCCTGGAGATTGACGGCAAGGTGAGTGGTTTGTAGAGATTAAGGAAATGTCGTTAAATTTGTTGGAAGAAAAAATTATAACGTCAATCTAAAAAAAAATATAAAACTCTTCATATACGTACACGATACTGTACGTTATTTTTTATTTTTAAGAAATAATTATTAACATTCGTTACTGATCATACAGTTTATATCTACCTTTAAATAAAAAGATTAGGGAAGGAACATAACATATCAGCAAATTTAGATGGAGCGCGATAAGGGATTGACTTAAATTCTCTGGTATCAGTCCCCTAATGTAATTTAAAACGTGTAAAAATACACTCAGAAAAAAAACACAACGGAGAAATTTTTAGTCAATTTTAAGGTGTTATATTTCTGTTATTTTTAGCCCTATTATCATGATTTTTTAGCAAGCTGTACATAATTATCAAATATCAACTTTAATTCGTTTATAAAAAACTTAGTTTAGTTTTTTATAAACTTTAATATTTGGTATATTATACAGGGTTATTCGAGGGGCTGTTTTTTTACCTGCTTGTCATATTGAAAAATAACTTAAAAAAAATGATTTAATTGAAAATATTGCAAATTGTTGGTGTCAAGTTCATTTCGCTCTTAAAAATTAACCAATGCATATTTTAACATGATCCAAAAAATACCGTAAAATTATATTTTAGGAAAATTTACACAGGAAATTATTGCACAGGGTGTTTTAAAGTTAAGGGGAAAAAACAACTCCTCGATTAACCCTGTATAATACGCCAAATACTAAAGTTTATAAAAACTGAGTTTGCAAATTAAAGTTGATATAATTATATACAGGTTCCTAAAAAATTGATGAAAATAGGGCTAAAAATAACAAAAATATATATAGTCTGTCCAACGAGAAGATCCTTGACAGTGATAAATGTGTCTGTCATTTTAATTTCAAAGTAGTTTATTTTATTTTACAAAGAAATAAGTTGGTACAACTATAACGCATAGCAGGAAATTAATATATTTAAAATTTGACTGACAAGTGATTACTTCAAAATATTGTGAAAGAAACTGTATAAAACTGAAAAAATGTAATCGAGTTATTTTATTTAATAAAAAACGGTATGTGTTTAATACAAAACAAACAAGAACAAGACAACACATACCAAAAAAATATAAAAAAGAACTATTTCTTACTTTCAAGCTTTATGAAACTTTCGGCATTTATGATTATATTTATTAATATAACTTATGTACTTGTAAATTTGTAATATTCCACAGGAATAAATAAAACAACATAAATAAAACAAACTATTTTATTAATAATAACACTTACCAAATTTTATGCCTTAAGGGTTGATTAATTAACTTTAATCTTAATTTTTTTAAACCAGTACCTTCTGACATTATTTTTCTGCAGTACTAAAATCCATTATTTACCTATCGTGTGATGCCGATATTTTACAGATACTCCAGTTTATAGTATGTGTTTAGTAAGGTTCTTCTACCATATTCGAGATGCACTTATCTACGACGAGATGGTATACGAACTTTATTGATGGTAACTTTATTGATGTATAAGACTTTCTAGTATTAACGAGCGAGTATTAGCGAGTATTAACCATAAACTGTGCTCTGGGTCTAAAGTTAATTTTCACTCGATTTTTCCTCCATTTGACTTCAAAAGACACAAAACACACGTAATAACACGAATCAAAATGCATCATCTTCTAAAACGCAGGGTATTTTACAACATTATAACCTATAATTTGGCAAGACTTTGACAAGCGTCAAAAATCTAAAGGCGAGTTCATACGCATCGGCGTCCGTTTGTCGTTCATCGTTCCGTCAAACCAATAAAACTGAAATACGATCAGTGATTTTTAAAATAAACCAATAAAACTGGTTAAAAACAACAAGAGACGACGTATGACGGATTTATATTTAAACCCATCTATAGTTAACTTAAAAATTATTAGAAACTTTTTTTAGAAAAATAAATAGATTGGTATGGGACGTCATCTGCTTTTTTTCTGTCATCGTCTGTCGAAATCTTACCTGACAAAAAAAAACAGAGTATAATAATAATTAACATTCATTACTAATCAGTTTATAATATCTATCTCAGTCAGTAATTTATTGATATTTGTTGTATGTTGTCAGTAAATGTTAGTAGCTATGAAAATTGTTAAAAAATATATTTCTATTAAAAATAGATCAGTTATAATAATTCCTGAATAACAAAAATATCAATTACGCTACTGAAACCCCTCCAAAAATGAAAAATTCAAATTATGTATCCTAATTATTTTTCGACAAGTAGTAGACAAAAGCAAGGTGAGTCTTAATTAGGTGCAAATATTTACAGGGCTGGTAGAACTTGACAAAAGAAACATATTTTCTCATTACCGTTTTTTAAATAAGTCTAAAATAACCGAGTTATTCAAATTTGAAAATTAAAAAACAAATTTTTTATTTTTAAGAAATTTTGAGAGCCACCGGATTTTTTTCTGTATTTTAGTGCGGTAATATCAAAGATTAAGAAATATACAGTGGGAAAATTTGCGATGGACAGGCAGTTCTAAAAAGTTTTGGAAAATACAGGAACGAAATACGAATACAGTAAAATATAAAAGAAAATGCACGATGGTCAACATCTTTTTTTACGAAAAAACCTTCTAGACATGTTCCTGGAGAGATATATACCACTCTAAAAATATTTGCACATATTTAAGACTCACCCTCTATAGTTATTTACTACCCAAAATTATTTATTTCGATTTTAGACCAAGATCTATCACTCTGCATAACTATGACTATTTCACAGTATTTTTCTAGAATTTCCAATAATGTTGCTGTTAATTTAAGTTCTGACACAGTTTTCTTCTAGGTTTAGTACCTCTGAATAAAACCAATTATTGTAGAATACCTAAAAATAATATAACAGCTCAGAAAATCTGAAAATTTTCAAATTAATTTTTGTGTCATTTCAAACTTGAAACAGAACTCTGTCAGAATGGTTTTATGATGTCGATTCCATCTCTAAGGCATGAATACATGAATAGCGTTATACTCCTTCATTAATCTTTTTATAGAGAGATTCAAATAAATTTGCAATATAGATGGCCACTAAATATCTGAACAAAAGTCCACGCCTACATGGCATAACGTTGTTTTGTATATTAAATTATTTTTGACAAATAATTGCTTTTTGTAATTGAATACAGCTACGCAGTCAAGACATAAAGTATTTAATTTCATACCACTCCTACAAAACTTTATGTTTAATAATTTTAACTAATAATGGAAAATATAAAATTGTAATGCAGACCATATGTCACATTGGATATAATACTAGAGTTGTATCTGTAGATATTAGACAGTCTGCAGTATACATTAGTTCATGAGAAGCTGGTTAATAAAAATATCATATATTAATGACAGTCTCACATGTTGAGAGCTTTAAAAATTTTATTATTTGTAACTTATTAATTTTCAAAATTATCGAATTTTTTTTTCCGGTTTTTGTTTGGTTGGTCACTATAGAGAAGTATTTTGTCATTAGTCATAAACATAGTTATAAAGTTCTTTGTTTTTAGGGTGTACAGGTGCATATTATTAAACATTTGGTGTATTCGTTTATTGATATTTGAGGTCGATGTAGATGTAAAATAAAGTTCCTTACGCTAGTGATCTATTTAAATATATTATTAAACACTAAAGTTGTCCAGTGACCCTTATGAAACTTATGATCTTCCTCACCGCATTGCGCGATAAGTTTAATCTTTAACTGTGTATAGAATTATTTTGCAGATTATGTCTCACACATTATTTCCGATGTAGTTTTTGCAATATCGACATGCTAGGGCCTTAGATCATTTCTGTTGAAATTGAGATTTTTAAGTCTTTGAACTGATGCTTTTGTAAATGCATAGTGCTTCGTCCATCAGTTCCATGCCTATTACCATGCCTATTGAGCTTTCAATTTTATGTTAGTAGACCCACTACAGTTTTGACAGTCTTTCTGTGTTTGATTATCAGGTCTACCGTATATTTTGGCGAATGTTCTACTATGAACTTTTTCACCTGTTTTTGCTTTGGTGAATTTTTTCACCACACTAAGAGATTTGTTGGAAAATCACTGTTTTTTCAGCACTGAAGAAGGGTTCTGGATCTATAAATGACATTGATGCGGTCTTCAATTACATCAAACGGAAGCTTCTTCTTCTGTTTTACTTTTACGCTGTACTTTGCTTCTGAAATTAATGAACGAGTATGATATACAAGGTGAGTTTCCTACGATGTTCTCTACGGGTATCTCGGAAACTACTGGAAATAGAGAGTCGGTTAAATGGGGAAAGAATTGCAGTTTTAAGGGGTTATAAATATGCGCCTTTCAGATTTTTGAAAAAGTTCATGGCTTCGAAAAAAAAACAACAAATTTTGGCTATTTTAAAAATTGTCCTTAATTCTATTATAATCTATTTTAGACAAAAAGTTTTCAGATAAAGTTGTTGATAATCACATCCCTAATGAGTTTGTGTTCTCCGATTTTTTGGAAAGTCTGTCATTTTTGACATATAACACAACAAAATAAAACACTAAATCACCACAATACACCAAAACACTTTTACTTTTACACTGGACGCGCGTTTCGCTAACCACGTTAGCATCATCAGCAGATGATTATAAACTGAAAAAGGGACTTTTGATGATTATAAACTGAAAAAAAAAGACTTCAAGTGGAGAAAGATACGTCTAAATATTTTTCAATACCGTTTGATAGAGAGTTATCCCGTGGTCTAAAAGGAATTTTTAAGAATGTCAATTATAAACTTGTGTATAGTGCTAATAATAAATTACAACAATTATTAGGTAATCCAAAGGATAAAAAGCCTCCACTGGAAAGGTCGGGTATTTATGAAATTTCTTGTAAAGATTGTAATCAGCAATATGTTGGGCAAACTAGAAGATCAATATTAACTAGATTTAAAGAACATTGAGCTCAGATAAGATATGGTAGACCGGATAAATCTTGCGTT